GTACCATTGACTCTTGATCATATGCTATCTCTTGATATGGCTGAATATTGACCATTTCTTTTTGGTACAGTGACTCTGTATATTCCTTCCATCTTCTTTTGATGCGTTCTGCACTGTTCAATATTTTCCCCATAGAATCCCTCAATATTTCAAGCCAAAGGTTGAATTTTTTTCTTCAGTTCTTTCAACTTGAGAAACTCTGAGCTTCTTTTTTGGTTTTCGAACTCCAGGGCTTTTCACGTTTCATTATAATACTTGACTTTTTCTTCTTAAGTTGCCCTTTGAAATTTTATGTTCATATCTTTGACTTCACCATTTCTTCCACGTACTTTAGTATTTCTATGTTGGAGAGCAAGCTTAAATGTCTCTTCTGACTTCTATTTTGGTCTTTTTTTTTCTTTCTGTCTTTTTAACGAATGAATGAAATTGTTGTTGTTGTTAAATGCCGTTGAGTTGGCTCCAACTCATAGTCACCCTGTATAGAGTTTCTGAGGCTTTAGGTCTTGCAGGAGCAGAAAGCCTCATCTTTTTCCAGCAGAGCAGATGGTGGCCTCAAACCATGGATCTTATGATTCACAGCCCAGTGCTTACTGTATGGAGTCAATGCCGTCCTTGAGTGAAATTAGTCAGTAACAAAAGGACAAACACTGTACGAGATCACAATTATAAAAAGTTAAGAAAAGGTTTTCATACTAAAAGAAACATTTGATGGTTACCAGGGGTGGGAGGCAAAAGACAGTAATTCACTGGTTGAAGTGTAAACACATGTTGACTTGTGTGATGGGGAAGGTGCTGTGTTACGATACTACTAAGATATGTTCACATCAAGTATCAATGCTATCCCCTCTGTACACAGGGCAGATAGGGATGGGCAACTTAGACACTGGCTACCAAAAATGAGTGGGTGATAAAGGTACAAAGTGACTGGCTTGCAAGTTTTCAATGGAGGGTTTAGTTTAACAGTGTGTGGGGTTCAGTAAGAAACAATGACATGCACATAGGACTCAGTATCAACTTCATTGCATACCCTTACTTGGATAGTTAATTTTGTCAAACTCCGAATCTATGGATGGAATTTAATGCTTCCAATAAGCTATTTGCAAATATCAAATGTTGTTATGCAAGAAATTATAAATTGAAGATTTATACCATTGTGATTTAAGCTGTACTGAACTAAATCTGTGGAATGCATTGTGAACTGTAAAAGCAAAGTATCAATAAAGCTTACAGATTTAAAAGTTTAAAAAAAAAAAAGTGTGTGGGGGAAGAAAGAGTCCCCACTGAATAGTTTTCATCTTGTTAGATGGGTCTGGTAAAAAGAGATGGGGATAAGATTCTTATG